TGGGTGTGGGTGTGGGTGTGGGAGTGCAGGTGCCTGTTTGGCTTTGAAGCCACATTATGCTTCAATGCGACTGCTACTTTGCAACGCACGGCGGCATTTGTTAGGCCACTGCCAAGACCAAAGATGCGGCTCAGGACGGCCCACGAATGAAGAGAGTCTCGAGATTTCTCGAGCGCCGAGAACTTTTCTACAGACTTCTACACAGGACATGGCAGCCGAGCTTGCTCTGCTGGAGCTGCGAAGTGCGGTGCTAAGGGCTACTTTGGTCGGTTCATTGCGCAGAGACAAGTCCGCGGAAGCACTTTAACAGGTCCCGAAGTGACGACACAAGCGCCGAGCTCCCAAGGCGAAAGCCGACGGCCGAGTGACGTAGCTCCGCAGACCAGGGCTGCACTGCGTGCAGGGCGAGCTCGAGAGGCGCCCGTGGAGACGGTGTTCCAGGACCTTGGGGTTGGGGCCCTCGCTAAGATTCGCTGTCCTGCTGTCCCGGCAGCGCCGGGACCGTCAGCAACCACTGCCCATCTCGTAAAGCTCTCACATCTCGCCCACTACACGTTATCAGTTATCGCTACATGGTATGAACCCGCTACCTCTGTCGAGTCTAATTACTGTAGAGCTGCTTGCAAACACCCGAGTTGCATCCCGGTTCGCAAAATTCCTGTTTGATGCTGTCCTCACAGCATTCTCGATCCAGTGTGTGCAGAACCGTGTGCCAGGGTAATATCCAAAGCTATGATTGCTGTAGACTTCTGTGGAGTGGGACAGCAGCACCAAGGCCTCTTGAGCTGGTCAGGTTGCTTGCATATTTGAATCGGCTTACTTGCGCTGATCGACAGTGACCTTCGCCCTCCGCCTTTGGCCTAATAGGGGCCGCTTGAGCTGATAGTGCGACTGTTGATAACAAGCATCAAAGAGAGAGCCACTGCCCGACTACGAACTCTGCTCTTTTGCAAGGATGTCAGTTGCCTGGACACGCTGCCATCGGCTGCACGGCAGAAGGGGGTTGATCGGCAGGACGGCTTGCTTGTCGCAGCCCAGCGCACATAGCCAATGTTCAAGAATTAGACGAGTTTGGTTCTAGTTGCTCACTTAGCTACCCGCTACCCTGCGCCAGCACCAGCATGGCAGGAGTTGCAGGACTACTGCTCCAGGCCTGTCTGCTGAGATCACGTAGCCCTACTATCACTATCCCTGCATGCGATTCTTTTCGAACCCCCGAACAACGGTTCCGCACTTTGCTTCTGGGCCCCGGCCGCGCCGACTGGCCGCTGACATGACGCCTTTGGGAGTTGCAGGAGAACACCCGGGAAGCGGCGCTGCTAGGTGCCTCTGTAAGCGCCATGGCGCTCCAGCCAAAAGCGGAGGATCGACCACGCGCAGCAGAGGCAGCTCAGAAGTTCATCGCCACCTTTCGATGCAATCCCTGCACGCACAAGGACTTTGTTCTCACTCATCGCAGAAACAGAGAGGAATCCGGGGCCTTGCCTCTTCTGGAAACCGCAACTCAATGTAGAACGGAAATCACCGTGAAGACTCGAGTGGACACAGAGACGGCACATGACGGCACGGTGCCTGCTTTCTCTTGAAAGTCACAAAGCGTCACAGGCGAGCAGAAGAGCCGCTCTTTGCACTGCAGGAGATCCATTCCTCCAAACAAATACACAGAGAACAGAGTCGTCGTTCTGTCAAGCAAAATGGCAACTTTCAGACGATTTTTTGACTTCGTCCCCTTCTTGGGTGGCCTGGAGCTTTCACTACAGACCGGCAGAGACTGGCTGACAAGCCCAACGCCTCCCGAGTCCATACAGCTCTCAGATATTTTCTGGTTTTTGCCGAGAGGATTATGCAGCAATGCACTTCGCCGTTTCATGCTGGTCAAGTCCGCACACGTACACAACCGCACCTTACTTGCACAGCTATGTGCAGCTGCAGAAACCTTTCAGTTAAACACCTCTCAGCTCACAGTGGTATTTCTATCTTGTATGTTTCCTTTGTGTGTGTGGGCAGTGGCTTGCTCCAAAGAATGGTACAACGTATCGACTATATGACTACATGTCCTAATCAGGTCCAAGTTGAGCCTCAGCTTCAAGGAAGAGGCAGGTCCCAAGCCCCAGCCGCGGACTCCCGGACTGCAGCGAAAGCGAATTTCTGAGGAGATGGGTCCAAGCCACCGTCCCATATTTCGAGTGTAGCGAACTTAAGACGAGTCGTCTGCGTGGAATCGCTCTGTAACGTTCTGCCAAGGCGTGCCGTGGTGCAGGGAACCTTCTTCCCTGAGGCAAAAGGGAGCCAGAGCTCCTGAACAGGCTCCCTCCTGTCGCTGCAGGCATCTGCAGAGACCAAGAACACGGCCAAGGAGACTCCGGAAAAATTTGAATAGCCCGGCTCTCGCATTGGAGTTGGAGTGTTGCTTGCACTGCACGGGCAGAGGATCTTGCAGCTGCCTACGCCTTGCATTGCATGCGGCGAGACCTGGTCTAATATATTGCACCGTGCACGAGCAACAATTCACGCGGCTGTTGGATTTGAACAGACAGTGTGGGTTCTTTGCTTTCGTCAGCACGTCGGACTTTGGTGTGCCGCCGCGAAAAAACAACAGTGCCGGCATAATTTTTTGGTCAATGCCATCGCCGACGGTAAACATCAGCGTTGCAGATGCGGGGGCGCAGGGGGCCGTCGAGAGAAGCCGATCAAATGGCCCAAGGGCACGCCAGCTTCTCAGGAGACAGGCACGGAAAGGCGCAAAGGGAACGTCAATGGGAACTCAGGTCCGACAAAATCTCGAAGAAGTTCGCTTGGATGAAAGGCAGGGGCAAGGGCGGGGGGCACGAATGACGCCGACTTTGAACATGTCCATGCGCTTGAAGGTACCGAGTGGAGTTGGAACAACTGGAGGAATGTCAAGTTCCAGAAGGAGTGCTGGGCATGTGCCGCGTGCAGTCGGATCGGCTCGCGACACAGTATTGAGGGTCGGTGAGGGGTTGTCCGGTCAGGATGGCACCTTCGAAGCTCCGACCAATGACTGCCAACGTGGTCAGTGCAAATGGTCTGCCAACAAGGGCAAGGCAAAGGGTGTCAAGGAGTAGGAGGGCTCGGGTGCTCTCGTGGCCTCAGATCTTTGTGCTCTGGGGCCAAGCCGGGCTCCATGAATTGGAGATTGCAGAGAACCTCAGTTTGCGTGACGCCTGTTACGCTCCTTTCAGCAACGGGAGACGCCTTGCGATCTCAATTTTACTCGTGAGCGACGGAAGGTCGGCGAGGTGCCAACCGAGCAGAATCAACAGAAAATGCAAGGAATGCAGATGAGGCAGGACGGCAGGAGGATGTTGAAATGAGTGCAGAGTTGCGTTGTCTAAGCATGGCAGGGGTCGCCGCGTCTCCGACGGGGATAGGTGCTCTGCCGTCTTCCAAAGAGCTGCCTGGCTTTAGATCCTGCACGCGAGAGGATTCCATTCGCGCCATCTCTGAGGTTTTCGACCATGAAGCTGCTGAGCTAGACAAGGCCCAGCCTGTGACGTTCCGAGTCCGAGCGATCCGAGACAGCGAAGGACCTCTACGAGATCCTCGGCCTTCAGGCCATCGAAGGGGTGCTTCTTCGCGTTACACTAAGCACCGGTCGTTCGAAGCAGCTGTACTTTGGTATTTGCTTCCGAACACGGGAGGAAATCCAGTTCTTGCCCAACCTTAACAGTGCCAAACAAGCTGTCCTCTCGATTCGCACCCCTCCATCCCTTCCTTGCTGTTCGAACCTGACAACCTCCATGGCCGATACCGAGCCCAACAGACCCGTCTCGGGGGACTTGCCTTGGGCATGTGCCCTAATCGAAGCTCGAAACCGAAAACAGCAACAACACCGTCGGACGGAGCGATGCACGTGCCTGAAGAACTTGCAGCTTGAATTGCACCGCCATCCGTGCAAGACCGGACATGCTGAACGCACGTCATGTTCACGTTTCTCAGGAGGATGCCGACGAGGCAGACATCAAAAAGGCCGGCCCAGTGTCCAAGCGATGAGTCATCACGAGATGTCTTCCAGGCGTTTTTTTTACAAAGTTCAACTAGGCCTTAGAACACGACGGAATGGCAGGTGTACCGGAAGCTGTCCATCAAGTACCATCCCGATAAGAATCCCGATGAGGAGTCGAAAAGGCGACCAAAGCATCACAACGAGACCGAAGCATGTGACCGCACTTTTTTGTGAGAGGAAGTTCGGGGAGATTCGGGATGCCTACGAGGCGACACATGGGGCACTGGGCCGCGCCAGAGATGCAAGCTGCACATCGCTGCACGCGTTACCGGCTTAGATCCTGAACGATCCGGACAAGAAGATCCTCTATGACACCGGCGGGATGGAGGCTGCTGAACTGCTGCGCCGCTCCCATGTTTGGCTTGAGCAGAATGCCAGGCGGTCAAGAAGGCCGAAAAAGGCGAAATCGAGAAAGGCACCTGCTATGTCAACGGATTTCATTGGAGAGTCTGTCATGGGACACTATGCAGGCGATGATGCTAGAGCGAATCTGGCAGCAGAGACCTTAGATTCCACGTCCACAACTAGACCGACCTGCACTGGGCCGATGTGACTGGCAAAATCTGTACCTGAAAAACAGAAGATTCGCGGCCTCACACTGCTAACAGCCTGCCCAAGTACAGCGGCGAAGCATGTTGTTTCTGCTGTTGCCTGTTGTGGAGAAGTTTGTGATGGGCGACGAGGGCTTTAAATTGTGTGGATTTCTGCAACGTGCAACCGAGAGGCCAGCAGCGCGCTTGAAGGAATCCCGACGCGATGCATGACAAGTGCTTGGGGCGACAAGGGACGTACAAACTAGTGAGCCGAAAGCAGCAGTACCTCCAACAACGACAACGAGCATCAGCAGCAACGGCAACAGCAGCAGAGACGACAGCATCAAAACTGTGAGTACAGTATCAACATCATCATCCAGGACCACGGCAACATCGGCAAGGAGAGCACTGCAACAGTAATGGCCGTCAGAACGAGAACAAGCTAGCTGCACGCACTCACGCAACAGCCTTGATATGCAAGTCACTCGTAATACTTAATCACTTAATGGCAGCAGAAGCACAGCAAGATTCGCGGCCCACCACTATTGCTTGTAAGCGTCCTCTGTACGACTGCATTACAGCTAGTGGCTGTCACTGCTCTGGCTACGGCTGGATTTACAGTGCGTCCACCTTCACGATATGTACATCATAAACACCAAGAGTCGTACGGAGCAAAAGAATCCTGTCCCCTACATAGAGTGACACCGTGTGACATTGCCAAACACAGGGCAGCAGAGTCTAAGCCCTTGCAAGTGATATGGCTGGGAAACGCTAGACCTTCCGTTGGTCCGATGTGAGCGATGGATCGCCTACACTCAGCGGGCCTCATGCAGTTTGCCAGGCTATTCTCTCACACCTCCCGCAAGCGGGACCGTGCGAGTTGGTTGGAACATCCCATACTGCAGACTGGGAGCAGATGTTCAACGCAAGAGCTAAACATGTTAAAAGATGCAGGGATGCCTAATTTCCCTGCTGCAACTGCAGCAGATTCGCGGAAGCTTAATTCCAGATGACAGCGATCTGCTGAAAGAAGAGCCGGGCACGGCTCTGAGGTGAGTTTAGAAGACCTGTACAACGGTGGCAACAGAAAGGCCCGAATTGCACTTAATCAGTCAAGGGCATGAGCTTGAGCCGTTTGCACAAAGTGCACGACAGGCGGAGATCGAACGGCGCATTGTCTGCCGAGGTTGCAGGGCACCGTCCCTATGTGTCCCACAGCATTGTCCTGGCATCTCATCTGAGTTCTTAGGCTCTTAACGTACGTTTGCCAGAGGTCAAGCCGGACTCTCCGAAGTGCCAGGGCTGTCACAGGTGCTTGAGCCTCAACGAAATCTTCCATTGCTTTGTGACACCTCGGTGATTTCCAAGGTCCAAACGAAGTGAGGCTCCATCGTGATGTGTTGCAGCGTTGTTCCGCAGCAGTCCGTTCATCTGCAGGTTAGTAAACCGGCAGGCTCGGAGGGGGCCACTGTCCAGTGCAAGGCGACTTTGGGCCAGTTTCCCTGGTGGTAGGTTGGCCCTGGCATGTTCATGCAGCAGCAAGAAGAAGTCCAGAGTCCTCCACCTACTCACATCGTACAGTGTACAGACTCTTGAACTTTTGCCCTGGAGACGAAGGCCAGGAGAAGTGCAAGCAAGAGCTCGCCGAGATAGATGCCCACATAGAAAAGGCCTGCATCTATCCTCTCCTCCACGGTCCTGAATAGACGCTGCCAGGGAATGCGGGATGGCGAAAGCCTCACCTTCCCTCGTATGACCGACCAGAGGTCCGCTATTTTAGGGGCCGCGCCGAACATCGCATCTCATCGCAGCGCTGGCGCCAGGCCTGGCATGATCCCCGGCAGCATGATCTTGACCCTCAAGGCAAAAATGGCGCATGGCTGGGGGGGCTGGGGGGCCGCTCCTAGCTAGCGCTTGGAAGAGAGCTCTCGTTCTGCGAGGTTGCGAAGCATCCGGAGTTCGAGAGACGTGGGGACGACCTGCACATGAACATGAAGGTGCCGTTCTGAGAGGACGCCGTCTTGGTGATCGGTTTTGCCATGCAAGGTAACGCTTCGAGAAGCTTTGCTTGGGTGGACAAAAACCGTCAGGCACAGCTCAAGCCCGTGTGCCTGCCGGGGGGGCAGGGGTTCGATGGGCTTCGTACCAAGCTGTGTTGCTGCCCCGTATTACCTCGCCAGTGTGCCGAAGTAGGAATGTTGCAACGCATCCTGCTGTGTTCGATTCCTGCGTACTCTGTTGCATCATTCTTCAACTCGTTTCGGTAAAGCATGCAAAACTTGGCAAGACAAACGTCTAGCAAGCCAGATCGAGTTCATAGCTCAGGAGTTTCTTTTCTAACTCCTAAACTGAAACTCTGAATGGTAAGATTAGGGTGGGGGTTACTCTCCTGACGGGATGCTCGAACTTGGCTTGTTGCCGGCTTTTGTCCGAGCGTCAATTGTCGGATGTCGCATTTTTGGAGTCCACATTCATTGGGCTCCTATTTTTTGTTGGCCCCCTCCATGTTTAAATGAACCCCCATTTCACCAATGCTAGGATACCGCGTGTATTTTCAAGGAAATCCCAAGCATTGCATGAAGAGGTTCTGGCGACGGGTCTGGAATAGTCCTGCACCTGACAGTTTGCTCGAGCATATGCGCAGAGTTGGCAAGGGCAGGCCCAGCAACCACCCAGCTGGAATCTTAGAGTGGAGCACATCACGGCAGAAGCCCACCATGCTTGTGCCCAGAATGCCAAACATTCCAGTGCAGGACTGGGCGGCATCACAGGCCAGGAGCTGGCTTGGATGCCGATTGCCTTTTGGAGGCTGTTGCTGAACAGGATGCGACACTGGCACGCCCAAGGGATTTACCCAGAGGTCTGGGCAGCACTGCCACGCGGTCTTCATTGCAAAGGACGGCCCGGCTAAGAATGGAGGCAGTGCTGAAGCAGGCCGCATGCGACCGATCTCGGTGTTTTGTGGTGTTTACGAGCCCTCATTTCGGTTTGGGCTTCACATCCTGACACACGACAGTGGCTGGATGACATCTCCTTCGGTGAGTTCTACGGAGGCATCAGGGCAAGATCCGCCGGCCAAGCCATCAGGCGTTTGGAAGAGGCTTGGGACGATGATGCAATCCTGTTGTCTCTGGATTTTAGTCTGTGCTTCGATTATGTGCGACCCGAGTTGGCTGTGAAAGCCCTGGAGCTTCACGGTGCACCAGCCGAGCTGCTGGTCGTACTGAAATGGATTTGGCCACACCAACAAAGGTGGCTACAGTTCGGAGCGGAAGTGCTACCAAGCCCGGGAGCCTGTGACCACCAGTCTCCCGCAGGGCTGTCCAGCAGCCCCATTAGCTGCGACTTGCCACGGCCGAAATCGCGGCCGAGCTTGGTCCCCGAGCCGCTCAGACGATTTTCATCGACGATAGAACCCTCGTTCTGCGCGATGCTGCTCAGACTCTTCGAGCTACCGAGCTCTGGGCCAATGCAGCAGCCCGGTTAGGACGACGAGAGAATGAGAGGAAAAGGAGAATTATTACACGCTCCGACATCGGGGAGCATTGCAAAGATTGGGGCTGCAGCTGGACAGCGAAGCAGTGGTATTGGGCACAACCTTCAGCATCGCCAGGCCATTGCTGCCACGGAAAGGATGGCGACTTTGAGGCGAATGACGAGCAGGCTTTTCCGACTGCCGGTCGCCTCCCAGTTGAAGTGTGTTTTGTACAGGACGGTTTTGCTCCCCCAGGTTGCATGGGGCCAATGGTGGAACGAGATTGAAACCAAGGAGCTCGATAAGGTCACCACCGTGATTCGTCGCGCCTTGAACATTGTGCAGTATGGCGCGAGACCACTGTGGCTCCTCCTTAGTGGGCACTGGATGGATATCAGGCTCGCCTTGCAGTTGAACAGTTGAACAACTTGACTGCTTGTTCCCGGACCGAAGAACACCGCAGGCGCTATGGGCGCCCGTTTGTGCAGTGCAGGTGGCACCGGTCTGTTTGCATGTCTTTGACCACTTGGGGTTATGCACAGCAAGGACATACAGTTTGGCATGGACCTCGAGGCGACCGCCAAGACCTCGCCCGGGACTTACAGAGTGTGGACAAGCTTCGGCACGAGCTGCGAGAGACATGGAGACGACATCAGTTTCAAAGTTTCCAGCAGCTCAGCAGACATGAGGCAGTGGAACTCAGACGACAAAACATCGCCTGTGACGCGGCCAGGACGAAACGAGCTTGCAGCTTCTTCGCCAGTGCCAGTCAGGAGGAGCGGGTGTCATGTTGTCGGCAGGGCTTAGCGAGGAGTGCTACCACCGAATGAAGCACGGCACGTCACCTGATGGAGTGTGGTGCCGGCGATGTGGGCTTTGGAATGCTGCTGCTGTGCCGAACTGGCTTCATGCTGCTTGGGAGTGTACTCACTATGAACAGGACAGACAGCCCAGGCCCAGAGACCTTCGGTCCCTGAGACTTGGTTGGCCTCAGCCGGGTGAGAGTCAGACTGTTGCAAAGCATCGCCTGAAACATTTGGCTCGAGTTCGTGTTTGGACAGGCTCGTGGCCACGGTGATCGCCCGCCAGACTCCGCTGCCAGTAGCTGCTAAGGCTCCTTCGGTAGAGCGTCTGTCAAGGCAGGCGAGGTGCCATCTTTTCGTGTTGGCATGCTCCGTGTGGACAGGGCGAGAGGATTTGCTGCCTCTCCACAGTCCATGTGCATCTCGTGGTGCACCGTCGACTTAAAACAGACATCACCGTGTGTATTTTCAAAAGGTGCACATCTGGTGGTAGCCTGTGATCAGGCTGAACTTGGTTCGTTGCTGGCACTGGCCAAATCCCACGACATTAAGGACAAGGCCTCGGTGATTTGTCGTTTTTCCCCGACGCAAGAAGCAGCGGCTATGCAGCTGCCGTCTATTGGCCCGAAGGGAGAACGACAGGTGCGCACTGGGCCTTCGGTTCCCTTAGGAGCAGCTGGAGCGCCCACCGTCGGTCACAAGGTGCTGTTGAGATCGAGCTTCCAGGCCCCAGACCGTAAGCTCATTACGGTACGGCTCCAGATGCCGAAGATCTTCCAAGATGAGGCAGGGTGGGCTGGGTTTTGCAAGCAGCCGAATGACAGAGCCCGGCAAGCTCTTGGGCCGATCCATAGTTTCGGGCCGCGGCGGCGTTCACAGGCTGGAGACAGAATCGTGAAGTTGTGCTTGAGTCCTATGTCAAAGTTGCTGAGCAGGACAAGCCGGCTGTGCTAGGCAAATCAGGTGCCGCTGGGGCTTTCGTCACGGAGCTCGCCAGGGACTCCCCGAAGCCAGTGGCTGATTGGGTGCCAGCTGGCGAGGCCGAGGGCCCCGCTTACCTGGCCCTAGCCTCGCGAGCTGCTGTTGAAGCTAAGAGCTCACTTGCTTTTCGACGTGGTGACGGCGCCTCACTGGGAGTTAAGGTGCCGGCTGATAAAGCTGGTGATAGAGTCTTCAGCTGGCGGGCAAGACAGGTGCCTCTTGACTGGTCGGCCGACTCCTGCAGGCTGCACTTGGTGAATTGGGGTTCACCATTGGGCAGGGCAAAGCGGCTGCCAAGGGTAACCAAGCTCAGGCCTTGCAGCCTACAACGTGCGCAGCCAGAAGCTACAGCCAATGGAGCTCGGCAACGATCCCGTTTTTTTCTGCAGGCCGGACCGACACTTGGTGCGATGTTCATTAATGCGGAGGTGCAGGGAGTTGCTTTTTCAACGTGGTGGGAGCGCATTTCGCTATGCATCGAGATAACTTTGACCTCGATGCCGCATGCAAGCTGGCTAAGTCGAGAGGTGCCACCTTGAGGGCCGAGCTGGCTAGCTACATACGAGAAGGCGACGGCCTTTAAACCTTTCTGGGTCCCACCTGCTGCGCCCAGCAATGAGGTCGAGAAGAGGGCCAACCAGATCCAGATGGAGGGCGGGGACCTGCCGACGAGTTGGGAGGAATACCTCAAGGCCCTCGACCGTCCCAACCGGTGGGCCGATGACTTGGCCTGCCGCGCAGCGACTAAGCGATTGAAGGATCATCTTGGTGGTCGGGGGTCAACAAGCCGACACAACTGGTCAGCTATGGCAAGGCCATCAAGTTCAAGGATGAGCGCAAGCAGGTGGTGGTGCCCATCCTTTACAAGGATAAGCATTACCAGTGGATTGTGCCCAAGGCCGGTAAACACTTCCCTGAGGAATGGCTACAACTCGAGGCCGGTAGTCACACTCAACATGTTCCTCGAGGTGGGGGGCGGTCGTCTTCACGGGCCTCATCATTGGCGGTTCCTTTGGATGTTGAGGGCAATACAAGTTGGCTACCACCACGGTGGACCTCGTCTAGAGCTTCTTCGGTGGCTGGGACAGATGCGCAGCCCGAGGTCGGCAGTCACACGCCACCTGCTCCACGAGGAGGGGGTCGGCTTTCTTTGCGAGCCTCGTCTCGAGCCGCTACTTCGTTTGCTGAGGGCAATCAACATTGTGGTTGCCACCACGGTCGGCCTCGTCCAGAGCTTCTCGGAAGCACGCAGCCTGAGGCCGGCAGTCACACACCACGTGTTCCACGAGGAGGGGGTCGGCTTTCTTCGCGAGCCTTGTTTCGAGCTGCTACTTCGCTTGCTGAGGGCGATCAACATTGGTTGCCACCACGGTCGGCCTCGTCCAGAGCTTCTCGGAAGCACGCAGCCTGAGGCCGGCAGTCACACACCACGTGTTCCACGAGGAGGGGGTCGGCTTTCTTCGCGAGCCTTGCTTGTCTCGAGCTGCTACTTCGCTTGTTGAGGGCGATCAACATTGGTTGCCACCACGGCCGGCCTCGTCCAGAGCTCGGGCTGGAACAGATGCGCAGCCCAAGGCCTGCAGTTATACTCCACATGTTCCACGAGGAGGGGGTTGGCTTTCTTCGCGAGCCACTTCATTTGCTGAGGGCGATCAAAATTGGTTGCCACCACGATCGGCCTCATCCAGAGCTTCTTCGGCGGGAACCAAGGTCAAGGACTGACTGCCTTCTCGAGCCACAAAGGGTGGCACTGCACGTGCCAGCAAGCGCCAGGCACCTAGTCAGCAGCGTACGGCAGCCACCGTTGCAAGTAGTGAAACCAGTGACCCAGTTCCGAAGCGAGCAATTAAAGCGCTCCGGGCAGCCAAAGCCGCAGGAAAGCTCGCCGGGCTGGTTTTGCAAGGTCTGCACTTCCTTTGTGTACCCTAAAGAAG